GAACATGCCCCATACGATACTGTGACAAGGGGCTGTCCCTTGTAGAGATGTTATTGTAATCCTGCAGTCAGGTGGTAAAGTTATTATTTAGCAATTAGTGACACTAATAGATTAAAGACTACGTTCTTCTTGCTGTGTACAGATGACAGTTCTGGATAATTATATGCAAGTTCCTGCAGGCACTGCCCTGCATCCAGTGGGATCCAGAGTCCCAGGCGGGGAGGATTTCACCTAGAACTGGATGAACCAGCCTGCAACGCCCAAACACTGCTCCACATTACATCAAGCCCACACCCAGAGGGGGAGCTGGGACCTTCCACACAGGGCAGAGCCGCATCTGTAATCAAACTGTGGGTACCTTCCCTGGCACGCTACAGGACTTACAGAGTCCATATATGTTCCGGGATGCATATAACCCTTTCATATAATTTTTAAACCAACAAACCATACTTAATGCACAGTAATAGAAAAACAACATCTTAAAAGGAAAATCTACAACGACACTCCAGGAATTGGGGACTACATTTCCCATTATGCTTTGCCAGCAGTATGGCTGTAAAAGCATTATGGGATACGTAGTCCATAATATCTGGAGTGCTGAAGATTCCCTACTGCAGCAAGGTTAATTTTCATTTGCAACTGTATATTATGATTCTCCTTTACGTAATCATTCATCTAAATAACAGTTTGTTTCAGAAAGACCACACAGGCTGCGCTTTTACTGGGAAATGGGTGTGTCAATATCAGCTAATTTTCCCCCCTTAAAGACAAGGGTTAAGCAATAATCTTTATATCATGTCATAGTTCATGAAGGGTTTAACCCCTTAAGGACACATGACATGTGTGACATGTCATGATTCCCTTTTTATACCAGAAGTTTGGTCCTTAAGGGGTTAAGAGCCAAGAAACTATAATATGTTCACAGTAAAAAGGGGCAGTAACTGATGGCAACATTTTTTGAACCCTAGGCACATGGTTAGGAACTGTCACCACATTCAGATGTGACAATGTATCTGGTCTGTAGTTGTAGAGGATTTGCTAGCAAATTATGCAGTTGCCAGCAGACAGAATGGATAAATGTTGATCACAATTCCTCCCCAGCATTAGGACAGAAAATCATTATCAGTAACTCTCAAAGTCATAATTGAGGACAGACTGAGCCTTGTTGTGGGTAATGACACGCCTTGGGTGTGTGGCGACGACACCATAACTCTTTTTAATGCAGCTGACAGGAGCCAGACGGATGTGGTCTTTTCCATACCAATGAAATCTAAAGAGTGCATGCATGGTGTACTTATGGTATATACAAATGGACAGTGTCAATAGTGTAGCATCACCAGATCACCAGTTTTGGAAGGTCCCAGGACATATAACGTTCCATTGGAACTGATTAAAAAAAAAAATACACATTTTTTATGTGCATAAAATCAATGTCCTTAAAGAGGCACTCCACTACTCAACAAAATTTTGAAAGAAAATTAAAAACATTTAGAATATGAATGAAATCATGCATGCATTTATTTATGCATTTTAATTTAATCCAAAGACATATAAGTGAAAAATATATTTAAAAAAATTCTGTGACATGGTGAAATAAATAAAATTATAAGCTGGTAAAATAATTAATATCTAGGAGAAAAACATATACAAAATAGTGTAATATAACTAAAGACAATACATGCAGGGAGGGAGAGGTAGAGAACTCACAACTTGTAGTAATTAGTAGGCACATCTCCCCATAGGGGTAACTCCAAAGATGATATCTTGTTTCAATTGATTTCTTGTAAAGAAATTTCTAATAATGTGGGAGAGAAAAAAAAGATGATGCAATATTGTTTGATACAGAACAATTTAATGAATGATTGCACATTTTGCACTTACAAACATGTAAAAGAGAATTTGCATTTCTCCACAAACATGGATCTCAGTTCCACAAAATGATTTCTTTTGATATATTTTTCACTTATATGTGTAGATATATAATCTCTCTCTTTTGTTGCTTTATGTTTATGGGTTGTTAATGAAACACTTTTTTAGGTTAAGATCTTTTTTATACTTAGTGAATACTTTTGAATATTTATATCTAAAACAGCCTACAAACGCTACAGATCGCCTCTGCAGCCTTTGCAAATGTTCCCCTTCGAACCCCACCCAGACTTTCTATGGCTGTCCAATCATAGATTTCCTAGTGCAGCTCATTGAGGAGTCTTTGCAATTTTGAGCAATTACTGCCTACAGACTTTGGCTCCACTGAGCTAACCAACCAGGAAGGGATGAAACAAGGTTAATTTTGAAATGTGCCAATTTCTATTGAAATCGGCACTTTTTGTAAAATTAATGAAAAATAGTTCACATATAAAGCACTTCAGCAAGCTAAAGTACTTTAGGTGTTTGGTCCGTTCATTTAATAAACACAGCATGGCAGTTCTCTCATTTACTAGAGGATTATTTAGTGATAGGAATACAGCTTTGTATTCCTAGCACTATTTCCCTTTCAGAAAAGACAGTCCCTATGTTGGATCCAAATCTCTCTGCCTTCTATCCTAATGTCCTTATTTTTTACAAGCTCCAAATATTGTTGGTGTGTCTGAGTGTGTAACAGAGCTCCAGAGACATAAAACTCACAGTAATTTGTCTTTACACTACAATAAATGTGTCGAGAAATCAGTCTGTGCATTGTTCTTGTTCTCAATTACATTTTAGTTGCATAAATGTTTATTAGCAAGTCACTTAAAACTCCTCAAAACAGCCCTGCCCCTGGCTATACACCTCACCCCTAAAATGAAAATGTCCTTTGTCCATTTTGAATGTTTGGAGGTATGAAGCAGAATATTTTAAATGTAGTAGCCACTAACTATAATGTCTGTACATCATTGACAGTGGGTCCAGATTTATAAAATGATGACACCGATAAAAGGTCTAGATTTCTAGATATCTTGAAGGGATATTTTAAGCACCATAACCTCTATAGTATATTGTAGTGGAAATAAAATAAAGAGTCCTTGGTTTTAAATCCCCATTTTCTGTGAAACCATTTTTTGAGCTTTCCTGGTCCCTAGAAACCAGCTTTTTGGTGATTTTTTTTTTAGAATCTTTTATTGTGTTATAGAAGGTTTGAAGTACAGTAGTGAAGAGATCAACTGTGTAGACTCGCAGGTCCCATGTAAAAAATGTTTGCATCATGAGAGATCACAAGTTATGTACAGTTCGCCTACACAGATACATTTGTGAGGTGACAGCTCTTCCACCAAGGAAATCAGCATTTCACAAGCTTATACAACCATTGACGTAGTTATAAATGTCATGAACCATTATAGTGGCATCGTTTAATCTATCTGTTCGTGCTATGTCTGAGGGTCAGTTACCCTATCAGTCGGTATTTCCATTGTGTATCAATCCCTCCCACGTTCCGCGTTATACTGATCCTCTTTTTCATTTATTTTCTCCTCTCTCCCTTCCTCCCTGTTGTCACCCATATTCTGGCATGGGTTACATAGCAATGGTGTAGCAGCAAGGTTAGTAATTATCTATACCATAGGAGATGTATCGGCGTTTGACTTTGCTCACAGGGTCTGTTGGATCCTGTTTATCATGTTCTAGGATGGTATAGGGTATATTATGGTTTCCAAGACATTCTGCCAGTGCTAGTCGTGGTCTCCCAATCTGTTTACTACATCCTTATGGCACTGGAAGTGTATGTGAGTTGTGTAGGGGTCTCTTCTTTAGCGACTTTCGTCCTAGTGTCACCACTGGGAGGAACTATATTTTGCATGTAGGGTCTGCTGGGTCCCATTTATCATGTTCTAGGACGATGTGAGGTGTGTTATGGCTTCCAAGGTATTCTACCAGTGTTAATCGCTGGCTCCCAATCTATCTACTACATCTTTATGGCACTTTAAGGTGTATGTAGGTGGTATAGCATTTGTGGTTGTAATTGTGTCACGAGGCCTCTCTGTGTAGCTAGGAAGTATAGGTTATGAAAGCGGGGAAAGAGGGCAAAAAAGGAAAAAAGAGGGGGAAGGTTGTCCACCCTGTGTATCAAGGGGTCAATCGATGAAGTGTGTCTGTGCTGGGGCGCATGGTCAAGGGAAAAGAGGAAGAAACGTGTTGTAGTGTGAGCAGCGTGGTTCCCGTCCTGAGGGGTCGAGGCCCTGGTGTGTGCCCCTGTTACCCAAAAGTACCCCCCCAAAGGCCCTGGGAAACAAACATTAACCATGGCAGCCATGTCTCCACGTGCTTGCTCCCCCTACCCAGGAGGGATGCATGCATCGCTTTGGCCCCCTGAATGTCTTCCACTCTGCGTATCCATTACTCTCTCCGAGGAACTTCCGTTTTCTTCCAGTATATTGGGAAAACCGCCTTGGCCGCATTTAGTAGGTGTCTTATAATCGATTTTTTTGTATAGAGATATCGACATTGGTGATATATGTAGTAGGGCTAGTTCGGCTGTCCATTTGGTCAGGTCTCCTAGGATCTCCGTTACGTTGAGCCTAATCATTTCCGAGTATTGGATAATGTTGCGGCACTCCCACCAGATATGTATCGTTGTTCCCCATTCTGCTTGGCATCTCCAGCAGGTCGGTGGTGTCGTTCTTCCAGGAATCACAGGACTTCTTCAGGGCTTCTGGCTGATGCCCAGCCCTCTTGATGTCGGGCTAGCAGGGCGAATGGGAATCCCCATTTATATGCGATGTTGCGGTTGCAGAGTGCCTTGGTGACCGGGCGGAGTGCCCTCCTAGCATCCAGCGTTATTGGTGATAAGTCATTATAAAGGGAGACTTGGGAGCCCATGTATGGCCACGTGGGCTGCTCTCGGGCCTTTCGCATTACGGCTTCCTTAACCTGATACGAGTGGAGGCAACAAATCAGGTCCCTCGGACTGTCCTCCAGGGAATGGGGCCACAGGGCTCTGTGTGCCCGTTCAAACTTAAAGCGACGTGGAGCTTCATTTTGCAGGAGGCTCTTGAACAGGCCCGATTAGAGTTCCTCTGCGTTCTCACCTGCGTCCGCCTCCGGCACTCCCCGGACCCGGATGTTGCTCCTGCGGCCCCGATTGTCCAGGTCTTCCACAAGGCGTCTCATGCTGAGGAGCAGTTCTCCTTGTCGGGAGATCGCTGTGTCTGTTGCTGTGATCCTGGTGGACTGGGCTTCAAGTGAGTGTTTCGAGGTTTGGATGCGGCCTGCTTGGGTGCTCACATCCGTCCTGAATCCCGCCATCTCCGCACAAAGGGCGTCCTGGATGGTGGTAGTTAGGGTTAATAAGTCGGTCTTGGTGGCCATCGAGGTCGCTGTAGACCGTAGTTCTTCCCCAATTCGATCCAGGGAGGAGGGTGCCAGATGTAGAGGCCTGGGATAGCGGTGCAGATCTTGAGTTCTCTGCCTCACCGCCGATTCCGCGTTGGGATTGCAGAAATCCGTCCATCGGGCCTCTTTGGGGTCCCGGTTGTGAGCCCCTTGGGGTTTGGGGGTGCTCTGTGCGGCAGTTTCGACCCATTTGTTGGCTGTAGCTAATTATAGGATGCTTTTTAATGGCTTGGTGGAGCAGAGCACACAGATTAAGCGTCCATCTTGTTCAGCGCCGTGGCCACGCCCCTTTGGTGATTTTTTTTGACACACATAGCAATTTAAGAATACATGTACTGAGAACTTTAAGGGTTACTGCCAGAGAACACCCCAATATGTGTTCAGCAACATCTCCCGAGTACAGTGATGCCATCCATGTATAGGTGTGTCAAGTTCTCTGTGGGCAAAACTACCTTATTTGGAGGGTGCGCATTCCAGTTTTCCAACTTTTCACTCCTGGTCATCATGCACCCATGTCCTATTTTGGACATTTTTGAAGACGGCCAATGTAATTTACCCCCATCCAGGGCCAGATTAAGAGCCCAGTGGGCCTGGTGCTGACAATTCTGACAGGCCTAATTACAGAATCATATCGACCAAAAACAGTAAAACACTCCCAAGCATCATGTATCTGATGGAGATGGTGCTGGAGAGAAAGAAAACAGCAGCTATAAGAAAACACATACCCTAGGCTAATCTCTCTCTAATTTATGTTTTCAGCTTTCAAGTAAATCCATAACCCCTAACAGCAACGTCCAATCAAGCAGGAAGTCAATGGGCACGGTAAAAGGGTTTGCCACTGACACAAATCACGTAACCTGCCAAAATGGGCAAACATGCCCAAAAAGAGGACATTTCTGCTCAAAGAATTAGAAGGCCAGCCTGACATGAATGCATGTCAGGCTGCCTGCCAATCATGCAGCTGGCCAACTAAGGGCATACTATGCAGACAACACCCTGAGCTTGGCATAAATGCATCTAATGATGCTCTCACTCAACGCTTTCTAAGGACTGTCCCCTAGCACTCGCTGGTCCACTTGTCTCCTTACCTTCTTACTAGCAGGCAGAAGATCCTGGTATATGGTCTGGGACAGAGTAAAGCTGTATGTAGTGAGTGTAGAAGAAAGGGAACATGCCACAGTGTTAGAGACCAAAGTCAGCATTACCTTAAAGGATCACTATAGGGTCAGGAACACAAACATGAATTCATGACCCTATAGTATTAACACCGCCATCTAGCCCCCACTGGACCCCTCATGCCTCCATAAATATAGCAAAATCTATATTCAAGCCTGAAGCTGTAACTCGGCATGCTGTTAGACTCATAAAAACAAGCCGTCTGCTGACATCATTAGAAGTGGTGGCCTGATCCAATCACAGTGCTTCCCCATAGGATTGGCTGAGACTGACAAAGAGGCAGATCAGGGTCAGAGCCAGTATGATTCAAACACAGCCCAGCCCTCTATGAGGAAAGTTCAGTGTCTGCATGCAGAGGGAGGAGACGCTGAATGTTTGGATGCATTTTAGGCAGCCATGACCCAGGAAGGATCTCTAACAGTCATCTAAGGAGTGGCCAGTGAAGTTATCACTAGGATGTAATGTAAAGACTGCATTTTCTCTGAAAAGCAGTGTTTACAGCAAAAAGCCTGACGGTAATGATTCTACTCACCAGAACAAATTCAATAAGCTGTAGTTGTTCTGGTGACTATAGTGTCCCTTTAACTATATTCATTGTCAGCCAGTCCACACAAGTTTTGTTTCCATACATCCCACTTAAGTTTCCATACTTAAAGGACCACTCTAGGCACCCAGACCACTTCAACTTAATGAAGTGGTCTGGGTGCCAGGTCCAGCTAGGTTTAACCCATTTTTTCATAAACATAGCAGTTTTAGAGAAACTGCTATGTTTATGAATGGGTTAAGCCTTCCCCTATTTCCTCTAGTGGCTGCCTCATTGACAGCCACTAGAGGCGCTTGCGTGCTTCTCACTGTGATTTTCACAGTGAGAGCACGCCAGCGTCCATAGGAAAGCATTATGAATGCTTTCCTATGTGACTGGCTGAATGCGCGTGCAGCTCTTGCCGCGCGTGCGCATTCCGCCCAGGAGGAGGAACGGAGGAGGATCGGAGGAGGAGAGCTCCCCGCCCAGCGCTGGAAAAAGGTAAGTTTTAACCCCTTTCCCCCTTCCAGAGCCGGGCGGAAGGGGGACCCTGAGGGTGGGGGCACCCTCAGGGCACTATAGTGCCAGGAAAACGAGTATGTTTTCCTGGCACTATAGTGGTCCTTTAAGTAAGAGTATGTGAAAAGTAGTTAGTGTTGCTACCTTTCTTGGAAAAACATACCGGCCTTACTAATTTGCATAATTAAATATGTATGGGTGACATCACATGATGTAAATCACAAGGAGTGATATAAGAGAAAATGTTGTAAAATCACCAACAAACTACTTAGTTTGATTCTGCTGTATAGATGGATTCCTCCCCGTGCCCCCATGTCTCCCAGTGCCCTCATGACTCAGTGCCCCCATGTGTCGATTACTCCAGGTCTCAGTGTTCCTATGTATCAGTGTCTCAGTGACCCATGTCTCCCAGTGTCCCTTAGTGTCTGCCATAATGTCTCCCAGTGTCCCTTAGTGTCTCAGTGTCTGCCATAATGTCTCCCAGTGTCCCTTAGTGTCTGCCATAACGTCTCGCAGTGTCCCTTATTGTCTGCCATAATGTCTCCCAGTGTCCCTTAGTGTTTCAGTGTCTGCCATATTGTCTCCCAGTGTCCCTTAGTGTCTCAATGTCTGCCATAATGTCTCCCAGTGTCCCTTAGTGTCTCAGTGTATGCCATAATGTCTCCCAGTGTCCCTTAGTGTCTCAGTGTATGTCTCCTTGCAGCCTTTACCCCCATCCCTTACTGCCCTGAGCTGTAGGCTGTCTCTGCAGGGTGGGAGTTGCTGTCTGGACTCTCTGTAGCTGCTCCCCTGCAGAGCAGTGAGTATAGATAGTCAGGGAGAGATATGCTGGAACTTCCTATCCATGCCTGTCTCCACACACAGCGACCCCTACTGGCCAGTGCTGGTATTGAAGAGTAATCTCTTGTTTATACTGATAAAAATACCAGCATTTGTATTGCCAGTATAACTGCAATATTGGCACCGCCAGGCAGCCCCAAATACTGGCTGTGCCAATAAAATAAAAGCCAGGTGGAATCCCTAAGAGTAGTGTGAAAAAAAAAATGTATTTTTTTAAATCAATGGGCCTATTCCATGGGCCTGGGCCTGGAGCTACAGCTCCATCAGCCCCTATGTTAATCCGGCCCTGCCCCCATCAAACCATATATGTTTGAAAAGAAAACACCATAGGGCAGGGGTGTCCAAACTTTTTTCAAAGACGGCCAGATTTGATGAAGTGAACATGTGCTGACCATTTAGCCTGACATTCTTTGAACCATTAAAATTAAATGCAAATTAACTATTTTATGCAAAGTTTATTGCAAATGACATAGTTTTTATTTCATCATATTATTCATATACTGTCTCAAATCTCTTTATTCTTGTCACAGTTCTCACTGTGACACCCAGACCACCAGGCGTGCCCAACAGGGTATTTGAACCTGGGTACTTTGCAATCCTGGGCCTGCTTTACTGCTGTTAAGTCATAGCAGCTCCTATTCCTCTGAGTATTTCTAGCCCTGTTCTACCTGGCTATGTCTCCAGACCACCAGGGGATTTGAACCCGGGTACTTTGCGGGTACTTTGCAATCCTGGGCCTGCTTTACTGCTGTTAAGTCACAGGAGCTCCTATTCCTCTGAGTATGTCTCCACTATTTCTAGCCCTGTTCTACCTGGCTATGTCTCCAGAACTAGGTGGCTGGACTATTCCTGTGACTGCTCCTGTCTATCTCAGTCCACCTGAAGCAGATGCCAAATCAGCCAGGTATAAAACACTGCCTCTCTCTGAGGGCAGGGTCAGTTAATTGACTCTGGATTTTGTATTTGTGTTCTTGATCCAGTGTTCTCAAGACGGCTCCTGACTGTGGTTTATCCCGACCTATGGCATCCTCTGACTTTGGTTTATCCTGACCTCTGACTTTGGCTTATCCTTGTTTATCCTGACCTCTGGCATCCTCTGACTTTGGCTTTTCCTTGACTATCCTCCTGCTTTTGTCTTTGCCTGTACTGCGACTTGGAGCTTTATCCTGCTCAGCCCTCATGCACTGACTCCCAACCCAGGTGGTTTCTTATCTGTTCAAATTGGTCTGTGTTTATTTGCAAGGGTGAGCGTATAACTCTGCACGTTGGACAACACGTCAGGTAAGATTCTGTCACCATACAGATCTCTTTATTCTGTCCCAGCAGGGAGAAGGAACGCGCCAAATCCTGTGATGTCCAACAGATGTGTTACTGACAAAGAACACCCCAAAATGTATACAAAAATAAATGTCCTGCGTTCACTCCCATAACTCCTGGGAGGCAGCAATGACCACAGTACACATCAGCTAATACATATAGTAGAAACCAAAGAAAGAAAAAAAGTTACCTGTGCTCTTTCCCTAATCCCTATGTATATTTAAACAAATGGAGTGTATTTTAGTGTGTGTGTGTGTGTGTGTGTATATATAATGTTTTGTTTAGTCATTCTAAGTGTATTTATTTTTATTTGCAATTTTGGTTCAAAAGCACATTGTACAGGCATGATACAAATGTAGTCACAAGTAATAATTACATCTTCATCACAATCATGAATTTGTACTATAGTTATGTGGTTGTCTGGTTTCCCATTCCTACATGCCTCGCCTTTTAAACATACTCTTTGCTAGCTATTTGTGGTGCCCTTGCATTTTTTATTTTTTTTCCTCCCTGTATAGTAGGACAGAACTTTCAAAATTACCTGTTAACTGGGTAGAGAGGAAAACAAAGGAGAGGGGGTGCTTGCAAAAACAGAATATTC